GGACTCTCCCACTCCCCCCTCCCAAATACACACACACAGTCACTTTAATCAGTCTAAATAAGCTCTTTTTGCACTACAAATCATTATATCTGCACTGTTGTTTACTTCACTGGTTTGCACTCTATCTGCCATGTGCTGCTTTATATATATTTTTTATATATTTTTGTACATTTTACCTTATTTGTATATTTGTATAGTTGTATTTTATACTTAATCTGTATATCTGTATTTATGTTCTACTGTTAGTGTTATCTGTATGCACCAAGGGTCTGAGAGTAACGCAATTTCAATTCTCTGTGTGTATGTGCTGTACATGTGGAAGAATTGACAATAAAGCAGACTTGACTTGACTTGACAAGAAGGTAAGTCTTTCGATGTATCTCACTGATAGGAAATAGAGGGAGTCCACTTCGTAGAAACGAGACCGGACACTGGAGTGGCGTGAGGTGTGTGCTTATGAATGGTGGCTGATGATGATTGCCAAGTAGTGCCAGGTGCGTGTGATCAGTATTCAGGTGAAGGTGTTCGCTGTGATTGGGAGGTGGCTGAGCCTGGCCAATCCGTTACAATACGTATGTGAAGCCCCTCTTAGTTTCTAAGAAATTACTGATGCCATTAACCTTTTAGAAAATAATAAGTCTCCAGGAATGGACGGGTTAACTGCTGAGTTTTATAAAGCATTTAACAAACTTTTAACTCCTTTTTTGTTTTAAGTTTTTACAGAGAGTATAGAAAGATTTGGTGACTTCTTTTGTAGATCTATTAAAATGCTTTATACTAATTGCAATAGCTCTATCAAACTCAGCAGCGGTACCTCTCCCAGATTTACTCTGAATCGGGGAGTCAGGCAGGGATGCCCAATCTCCCCATATCTGTTTCTGATAGCTACCGAACTTCTAAATTTGCATATCAGAGAAAGTCCTTTAAAAGGAATAACTGTTGATGACACTGAAGTGGTAATAAGTCAGTTAGCTGATGACACCGTTTTGTTTTTGAAGGATGCCTCTCAGGTTGCGGTAGCATTAGAGACTCTTAAGCCCGTTTCTAAAGCCTCTGGTCTTCGCCTTAACACTAACAAATGTGAGTTACTCCCAGTTGGGAATTGTTTGGAATCCTTAATTTGTAATATTCCTGTAAGAGAGAATTTACAGACCGATGAGCTTACTTATTTGGGAGTTAAAATAATCAAAGACGATAAAATTAGATTCCCTTCCAATTTTCTTCCGATTATTGAAAAGACACGTAAGGTGTTGAATCATTGGTTGCAAAGAGATTTATCACTCAAAGGCAGAGTTCTGCTCACTAAAGCAGAAGGTATCTCTCGATTATCATATGCTGCTCAATCAATCTCTGTTGACAAACACACGTGTAAACTAATTGACGGCATGTTGACAAAATTTTTGTGGAAAAATATAATTCATTATATTAAAAAAATCAGTAATACTGAATTCATATGATAAAGGCGGTCTGAATTTTGTTGATTTTAGCTCTCTAAACAGTAACTTTAAAATAAATTGGATAAGACAATATCTTCAAAATTCTTCATCTGTCTGGAATATAATTCCTCGATTTATTTTCTCTCATTTGGGTGGCTTAGAATTTATTTTGATGTGTAATTATAAAATTGAAAAACTTAAAATCAAACTTTCTAAATTTTACCAACAAGTACTGTAGAGTTGGTACTTAGTGCTCGCCATGGTTCTGGCTTGCACTCCCCTCAGCATGGTGGCGTGGGTATACCGTTCCCCATAGCGAACCCTAGAGGACGCAGTTCGAAGTTCCCATGAAAGGGAACGTCTCAGGTTTCTTATGTAACCATGGTTCCCTGAGTAGGGAACGATACACTGCATCCTCTAGGTTTCTTGCCATGCTGCGGACGCAAGCTTCAGACGAAGAAGTGAATGACGTGTGCTCCCGGCGCCTATTTATACTATAGTCGCGCCGGTAGTGACGTCATGGCGGTCGCCGGCCAAAGAGTTGGTGTTTTCTCAATGTATGCTTCAGACACGGGTCACGACGAGGCGTCCCCCATAGCGACCCCTAGAGGACGCAGTGTCTCGTTCCCTACTCAGGGAACCATGGTTACATAAGTAACCTGAGACGTTTCTGTTTGTCCTCCTAGACCTGAAAATACCTTAGTTGGCTCTATCTGTTTCTCGGAGTTAAAGCCAAACAACTATAAAATTAGATCCTTGTTTTTAAAAGAGAATATTTCTACGCCTTATGTTATTTTCTACTGGAACAATATCTTTAATAATGTAAATTGGACTCAAGTTTGGTCATTACCTGAAAAATTCCTCTTTACAAATAAGGTTAAGGAAATCTCATATAAATGAATTCATAGAGTTTATCCTACAACATAATTCCTACAAATAATTAAAATTGATATTGATTTAAAATGCTCTTTTTGTGAATGCTCCACTGAAACAATGTCTCATTTGTTTTGGTCCTGCCAATATACCCAGCATTTTTGGAATAATGTGGAGGTTTTCATTGCTGATAATATTTTAAAACATTTTCCTTATCTTATAAACACATGATTTTGGGTTATTATATCAAGCATCGCTCTTTAAAGGATGTTGGTTTTATTATACATTTTATTTTATTTTTATGTAAATTTCACATTCATAAATGCAAGTTTACAAAAGGCAAACCTCTTTTTATGGTGCTTGAAAAATAGATTAAAATGTTTGTAGATGTGATGTCAAAATCGTAAAATAGTAAAGCAATTAAAACGAATAATATATGTTCCTCCTTTAACATTTTCACATAATAAAAAAAAAATTATAAAAAAAAATGGTGCTGACCTGCAAAATATATTTTCTGTATTAAAATTGCATTGAAATGTAATATATATTTGTCTGTAAACTGATGCCTATGTTGTACCCTCTCATCCTTTTTTTTTTGTTTGTTTGTTTTTTCCTTGTTTACTTGAAACATTATATATAAAAACAAATATTTAGTACCATTTTATTAACCAATGTCTTTACTGCTGACTTTCAATGATCTAATTTAACCATACTAATAAGCAAAAATGACTTTAGTTAAACATAACATTTGTGTTTCATGTTATGTCTTCTCATGTGTCCTATTCTTCGTGCAATCCAGAATGGCAGTGAAAGGTTTGTTTGAGCTGTGCCCTCTACAGTACAGACGTGAATTTACATTTCCTTCATCCTGAGGCTTATTCATTTCACTTTTGCTGTGAAAGGGTTTTACATTTGCCAAAAAATACGTTTTTTATATTTAAAACAAGCAAGCAAGCCCAGCCCAGATGAGAAAAGGTAACGCAGAAGTAACTTAATGAATTACTTTCCATAACATGTAACTAAGTAATGCAATTAGTTACTATTTTAGGGAGTAACGCAATATTGCAATGCATTGCTTTTAATATTTTCCCCAACACTGACAGTCATCTCTGATAACATTTCCTCTCGGCTCTTGATTGTAATGTAGGAACATATACTTTCTGTAAAGATGCTTTGAAACAATACTTGTGAAAAGCAATATACAAATAAATGTGAATTGAGATTGTAAAAACACCTGCCACGGAAATTTTAGATCAATCTGATCAAAAATACCTGAACCACTAAACAGCGCAACCACACAAAATAACAAATAATTAAAGAGTTTATTTTCTGCCCAGTAGAAAATGCAAAGAGGAACAAAAAAGATTTAAAGGCATTTCAAAGCATTTTTTTACTGAATAATCAATGCACTTTCACTTTCAATTTACAAAAACAGTCAAACTCTTACTTCAGTGAAACATTCTTCAGTTTATCCTTTTAAAAAAATACTCCTGGCTCGAGCACGTTCTGGTTTCAGAGGAGTCATCTTATTAGAGCTCTGCATCTGTCAAGTGTTATGCGTAGCGCAACAGTCATTCTTAATAATTTTGTACAAAAGAGGCTTGAAGATGAGCTCCGCCTTTAAGGAAATTCAATCACGTGATTTTCAGTATCTGAAAGAAAAGAGAAACCATCTCGAGCGCAACTAAACAGCACGGTGCGCACCCGAAAAACAAGCGGTTGATGCATTTCCTTTATCATGTCAAGTGCGGAGAAGCGATATGATGGATCTGAGGAGGACATTCAATTCGTGAGAAAGCCCAGCGATATTGGTAAGTTTATTAAACCTTCCTTTTGTCTAAAATAAAAAAAGACTACAGCTTCGGAGATTGTATTGAAATAAATATCTGTTGAAAATGGTCTTAATATCAAATTCGGGTCTGGAGCAGTGTTATTTGCCAAACTTGCTCTGTGTCGAACCTTTTCTGATCTACCTGCCTGTTTGCGCTTATTGAACCACCATGTGCTGGTTACGCCCTCTGGTCAGAACAGTGTTATTCAGACCCGGATTGGCTAATCGGGAGCACCGGGATAATTCCCGGTTGACCTGTCTGTTTTTTGGCCGCTAGGGCCGGTGTGTTGTCATACCACTGGGTTGAAATATATTATATCGCAGCATATATTATTATTTTCACCAGACCATACCATTAACATTCCTAGTTTGAGCGGGACTGGCGCTAACGGCAATGTCCCTTCACCGTCCGCGTTTTGATTCTGCCAAATCAGTTTGGGCAAATGCAATTGATTCATCATGAGCCGAACATTTAGCAAACATTCAATCTACCTGAAGGAAGACGTATTTCATTATAAGTTAATGCTGTTAACTAGAGAGACCGAGAGAGAGAGAGAGGGAGAAAGAGAGATAACACCTTCTAGTGTATTCTTAAACTTGGACCTCATTATGTTGAAGTACAAATCCAAGCGCCAGAAGCAGCCCACACTCTCTAAGATTTCTTTCATTGAAAAGTATGCATTTTCATTCACTCACAGGCTATATGGTTGAAATAATAATTTAGTTCAAAATTGTAAGTGCCTATATTATAAAAAAAAGTGCTTAAAAAATGCTTTATTGACTGACGTTTCATAGACCTTCAGTTGTTATGCTTTCAAATGTCATGCCATTTCTAATTTCACAGTATTTTCACCTCCTAAATTAGCTACACTTGTTGTGAAGTCACAATTCTAGAATGGTAGGCTACAATTTACTCAGGCCGATGACATTTGTTGTATGACATTTAAAATTATTTTTAAAATAATTGTACATAAATGGGTTAAGCAAAACAAATGTGATTATTTCTGAGAACTTTTTAACTGCAGGCAGATATAGGCCTACATTATGGTGCAGTACAAATATTTGGAGTGTCCCTTATTCTGTCCCTTATTTTCTTAAAGAATAAACACTAGAGAAGGCAGCGAGTGTTATCACTATGTCGGAGACACGCTAGCTTTCCCAAGGCAGACGAACTTAGAGTGGTTACAATCATCCGGGTTTAAATCGCGCTCAAATTGATTTGATTTTGACGCAATATTTACACTGAAGCTCGCAGGCTATGGTAAGTGGCACGACATTTCCCGACCAGGCGCCGAGTGCTGCCAATCACAGCACACACTGACATAAAATATGTGAAAAAGAATGTGTTTTTCGAACAACCTAGTATGAGAGCCTGGTCTAGTACTCCCCCAAAACAAAATCAAGACTTTGTAAAACAGCATAATAGGACCCCTTTAAAGAATCAGAATCACAATTGTCCCTTATTTTCCATTTCTGAAGTTAATTGGCAACCCTAATGATGACGTAATTATCTTTTGACTCCCCTGACAGCGGCATCTTGCTAAAAAAACAAAAAAAACAAACCTCAGTTGTTGGAGATATGCGAGTGAATAATAGATAAAAAAAAGTGGGCCGGTCTAAGGCATGAAATTCCAGGGCTGAAAATGATTCCCACTCCGGGCACGGGAAGATGTTTTAGGTTGGGGGTGCTGTAATTTTTGTGATTTTATTAAGAAACCATTAGGAAACAGTACCGAGTATATAAAACACATCAAAACTCCAGGAAACACAACAAGCATATGAACACACAACAAGGTGTGTGTGTGTTCACTGCTGTGTGTGTGCACTAAGGATGGGTTAAATGCAGAGCACTAATTCCTAGTATGGGTAACCATACTTGGCCACATGTCACGTCACGTCACGTCATATCGCTGAGAACAAAAGATAAATTAATAAACAAATTACTAAATCGCTGAGAACACTGCATAGCCCATACATTTGACTGAACACGGGAAATACATTAGCCTAAGCATTTAAAAAAATAAAAAATATAAAAAGTTTTTTTCAGTACATCCATGAGATTTCCATGTTCCACTTTTAAGACGTATCACTTAGCCACAACCTACAGATCCAACAACACAAACATAACATTCACAGACATAAAAGCAAGCATAGGCAGTGCTGCATGCATGATTTGGCGTGGCAGAATGCGCGCAACGCGCGCATCAAGTATGCATCAGTTTAATACAATAGATGCTATTTACACTAAGTGAAAATAGCAGTATTTTTTTGTGCAAATAGCTATAGATTCTATGTATACTATGTTAAAATTGCAGGATATTCTTTTAATTACTTATTGCAAATAGTGGCAATTATCTGCACCTCAGTATTGTAATACATTATAAAACAGTATGCAATAATAACTTGTTTAAATTTGTATTTTAATTCAAATTATTAAATGGATGCCACCTTATTGGGACAAAAGCCCTCCCTACACCTACCCTAACCCTACCTGATACTTTTTTTTTTTCAACTTTTTGATTATTTCCTTCATTTTTATTATCCACAAAAAAAAAGTAGTGCCAAACACTCGTCCAAAAATCCAGTAGGCAAATAACATAAGGTGCGTAAATCCAAAAATACAAGGATACAAAGATGAAAGAGATCCGCACTCAAAAAATTTAGCTCAAAAGGCTTATTCCATTTATTGCTCAGAGGTCACACAAATATGTGCAAAGAAGTGCAAAAGTTCAAGTGCAAAACGTTTTCGGGTATTAACCCTTCCTCAGTGCCATGTGCTACCAAGCAACACCTGCGCTCATTAAAACATGTACTACCGTAATACTCCTAGTATCACGAAGATCTTTCAAACAAATACACATATATATCTCAAATCTATAACAAAATACAGCAAATGCATTTACAAGTCATCCCAAATTATCCATATACAGCAAAATATACATATATACCAATAAAAATCTCATGACTCCACAGCACTTCTTTGCACATATTTTTGTGACCTCTGAGCAATAAATGGAATAAGCCTTTTGAGCTGTATTTGGACGAGTGTGGATCTCTTTCATCTTTGTATCTTAATTTTTATTAAAAATAAATGCTTTTCTGATGTGATTTGAAATTTGAAAAGGGAGACAAAAAAGTTCGCCAAAAGGCAGATTCGAACTCGGGTCGATCGCGTCAAAAGGAGTATGACACACGCTTTACCATTTACACCACTGAATCTGACGATTGATCGCCGTCTTTTGTAATGTTGACTAGCCCAATCACAGGTTGGTGGGTGGAGTTGGTGTAAATAGCCTCTCATCAAATTAACAAATGAACTGTACACAAGACATATCCTACTGTAACTGTACAATGCAATTCATAGTCAATAACTAATTTAACTAATTCATAGTCACTGAATTTAAATTTGTGTAACAATACTGACTCAATGCAGAAGCTGCTTGGTCATCTGAGTGAGCTTTGAGTTGTACAGGCAATGAAGTGAATGCTGTCATAGCTTTATGGATGCGGGCCCCAAACTGCCTGGGCTCCTGGGCTCATATGCACATGCATACCCTCCAGATGCTACACCACTGATTGAAACATTTTGAATCAATTGTGATGTAAGAAAACTTCATTAACTGAAATCATGTGAATTTGAGAGTTTGACGCACTCGAAATCACCAATTTGAAAAGGTTTGATGGTTCATAAAGCAGTGTTTGAAAGTGCTCATTACTAATATACATTGCAGGATAGGCAACATTGTTTAAGAATATACTGTAGTTCATGAGCATTTGGTGGAATTATTTTTTAAAACTATTTGTCTTATGACTTCTATGGATTCTATGGATACTGTCTGGTTCTATGGAGACATTTTTAAACAGTCTGGTTCTATGGATACATTTTTATTTATTTACTTTCTTCTTAATGCCATTCCAGCATCTATGGCTATATTTATAGCGAGAACCAGTTAATCCATACACAGTTAATCCATACGCAAGTTGGGGGAGGGACAATTTAGAATGTTCAGTTCACCTAACCTGCATGTCTTTGGTCTGTGGGAGTAAACCCACACTGAAATTAATAATTGGTAAAACAAAACAAAAAATGATCAGTAAAATACCATAAAATTAAAATTAAATGGTAAAATTATCGGTATCTGTCCAAATTACCCAATTAACCAAAATCACTGCAACACAACTGGTGCATCATATTGGCAATGCAATTTGGTGTATTTCTTTTTTTTTTAATACACTGCAAGTGTTTTCTTGAAAGTTTAATCTAAAATTACACAATGTCATTTAACATGAAGTATAGATAGACAGACAGACAGACAGACAGACAGACAGATAGATAGATAGATAGATAGATGAAAAAAAATATATATATGTAACACCTTTATGCTTTCAGCAGTTATTTACATAATGTTGCTTACTCGTAAGTTTTTTCTGAGTTAGAAAAGAATGCAAAATATTTTTTGTCTGAACTGCTGGAATTTTTTTCACATAAATAGTTAGGGGCTTAAATATTTGGAAAAATGTTTAAAATAACTTGATTTTAATACTTAATTATAAATAAATAAAATAAGACCAATTCATATGTTGGTACATTTACATTGACATATATTAATTTAGCGGATGCTTTTATCCAAAAGTGACTTACAAATGAGGAATACAACAAGCAATTTATTATAAAGAGGCAAATAAACATGAGAAGTGCTCGTAATACAATGTTTCAGACATCTTTTAGAATAGTAAAAGATAGAACAGGGAGGATTTTTTTTTTTAGCAGGGTGCAGTTAATTGCTGACCGACAAAATGAAATTTCAGCATGTTGGTAGTATTTAATATGTGTTATTTCCCCATTAGATCCTTATGATGATGATCCGAATACTTTAAGAGCTGAATTATCCTGTGGTCACATCACTGGACCACAGACACTGACAGACTACTGCAGAATACAGCTGATTGATGTAAGTGTGATTGTTTTTACATTTTTAAAGCAGTTCTCTTTCAAGGAAACTCCACACTGCATCAATGATGCTATGGGGAACGCTCCAGCGTGATTGCGTCTGAAGCACGTGTTGAATTACTCCAATCTCATTGGTGCAGTGTCATCCCCTGATGAGTGACACCATAACCCAAAGCTATAAAGATTCCCTGACCAAACATCATAGGCTTCTGTGTCTTTAGTAAGTGCCCTGTGTTTGTAAGTCTTATTTGGTGGTGTTTGTTCCATAGGATTAAATTGATAATTATGGCCAATAACTGGAAATCTGTCTGTGAGCTGCCTGGCAGTGGAGCATGCAATGTCAGCTCTTGAAGGGGCTGACTGTGTGCTAGGGGTGGGCGATATGAGCTAAAATTCATAGCACAATATTTGACACTGTCCAGGTGATATCTATATTATATTGCGATATGATAAAAAAAAATTACAGGCAAAATATTTTAACTTTATATAACTAGAAAAAGTGAGGGATTGGAAAAATATTTTTTTATTGTGCCATTGTTTTTCTCAAAAAGTGCAAACATGCAACATGAGTTAGGCCTGTATGAATTAAATTAATTAAATTAAATATTATGTGTTTGAGTAGGCCAGTGGTTCCCAAACTTTTTCTGCCGGGCCCCCCTTTTGTAGAGAAAAATATTTCCAAGGCCCCCACCCCCTCTTTTTTTTTTTGGAAAGCCTCTTATGCTCACCAAGGCTATATGTATTTATTAAAAATACAGTAAACACTGTAATATTGTGAAATTTTGTCAATTTACATTATCTATTTGAATGTTTTAACATATGGGCTACTGTATTTCTGTGATGCGCAGCTGTATTTTCAGCATCATTACTCCAGTCTTCAGTGTCACATGATCTTCAGAAATCATTCTAATATGCTGATTTGCTGCTCAGTAACCATTTCTGATTATTGTCAATGTTGTAAACATTTGTGCTGCTTAATATTTTTGAGGAAACAATTTTTTCACGATTCTCTTATGAATATTTGAAATGGTCCTTTGTGTCAGAGCACTGGAGTTCGTCGGAAATACTGTAGAACGCGGCTGTGTGGAACCTTATGTTGGCCAATCAAATTGTACCTGTATTGGCAGGGACTCCGCCAACTTATATAGGGAGAGCCCGGGGAAAAGGGGCAGTGTGTTTTACGCAGTTCACTGAATTGTTAAGCTCATGCAGTCTATGTTCAATAAATGCCTAATCGTTAAATAACATTGTTGTTCCCTCTCATGACATGGTGTCAGAAGTGGACGTTGCACCCACGACCAAGTTCGCCTTATTTTGAGTGGTATAATGTCCAAGTTCAATGCACCAGGGGCTTTCGACTTCGCACAGCCTGCGACCTGGCCTGCATGGATCCAGTGGTTCTCCCTGTTTCGCATTGCAATGAAGCTGAACAAGGAAAGCGGTGAAGTACAAGTCAATTCCCTGCTTTATGCAATGGGTAAAGATGCCGAAGCGATATTCGGATCATTCACATTTGCCGAAGCATCGCATGCAAATAATTATGAGACTGTTGTTGGCAAATTTAATGAACATTTCGTTCCCCGGAGGAACGTCATACATGAGAGGGCCTGTTTTCATCAGCGCACACAGCGGTCGGGAGAGACTGTTGAGGCTTTTGTGAGATGTCTCTATGAATTGGCTGAATACTGCGAGTTCGGCGCGAGCAAAGAGGAACAAATAAGGGACAGAGTCGTCATAGGAATTGCAGATCGTGACGTTTCCCAAAGGTTACAAATGGAACCTGAACTGACTTTGGACAAAGTGGTCCAGATCGCGCTGCAGTCTGAGCTCATTAAGACCCAAAATGTGAGCGGGGGAGTGGCTGCTGAAGTGAGCGAGGTACAGCATGGACACCGGAAAGGCACGAAGCGCTTTACGAGACCACCAAATAAGGAAAAGGGTGGTGAGAGGAAACAAGCCATAGACTGCACACGTTGTAATCGCACACACACAGAGAATAATTGCCCCGCACATAATAAGCGATGCAGGAGATGCAATAAACTGGGACATTTTGCCATTGCATGTAAAATGAAAAAATGTCAAAGAGCTGGTAGTGTGTGACACAGAGACTTGTGATGCATTTTTCCTCGGGTCTGTGATGAATAAGTCTGCTTCTGAGGACAGGTGGTCCGTTACTCTACCTATACAGAGCAGATCAGTCAAGTTCAAAATTGATACTGGGGCCGACATCATCATCATGTCTCACTGTACATATGAAAGCTTACAAGGGTGCCCTCCACTGGACAAAACCAGTATAAATGTGAGAAGTCGTGGGGGAAAAGTGAGCTGTATGGGAAAAATTCCTAGCAAATACTGAATGTAAAGGGAACATTTTAGAATTTGGGGTTTTTGTTGTAGATGGGCCATTTACTAACAATTTGCTCAGTCGAAGCACTGCTTGTAAGATGGGCCTAGTACAGAGGGTGGATGAAATCACAGACTACGATGATGTCTATGGAGACATTGGCTTGCTCAAATGTGAACCAGTGAAAATTGAACTTAAGTCAGATGCCACTCCTTATAGTCTGGCCAGCCCTCGCAGAATTTCCTTTCCCCTGTTGCCTAAGGTAGAACAGGAGCTCAAACGCATGCAGTCCTTAGGGATAATCTCTGAGGTCGACAAATCAGAACCAACCTGCCAATGCTTGAGGAAAAACACCAGCTTCAACCTATTGATTACAAAGCTGTTGAGTAGAAAGATAAGGCTGCAAAGGAATCCTACAAGTTCTTCTATGATCGGAGACACTCTGCTCGTGTTTTACCAGAACTCCAACCTGTGGAGAAAGTTCTTGTTAAACTGGACAGTGAGAAAGGACTGAACATTTAAAAACTCCTGTGGTTGCTCCTGCTGCACCTGTGAAGGCACCACCAGTCATAACTTCAAGTGGAAGAGTTGTGAAAACACCAAAACGTTACTTAGACTAAAATCAGCTTACAGAGACTCATTGGAGTGTTGCTTTGTTCTATTGTTCTTGTTTGGGAAAACAAAAAGAGGGGGGAGGAAGAGAGAGATTAAGAAGAAAATGAGAAGAAATGTTATATATTGTTAATTTCTTTAATTGGTAAAAGAAAAAAAAAGAAAACACAAAACAACCACAGTAATGTAGTTTCATTGTGTTGCAGTTGGTTATTGTGTTGAAAGAAAATATAATGTTCTTTTTCAAAAGGGAGGGAGATGTGTGGAACCTTATGTTGGCCAATCAAATTGTACCTGTATTGGCAGGGATTCCGCCCCCTTATATAGGGAGAGCCCGGGGAAAAGGGGCAGTGTGTTTTATGCAGTTCACTGAATTGTTAAGCTCATGCAGTCTATGTTCAATAAACGCCTAATCATTAAATAACATTGTTGTTCCCTTTTGTGACAGTGGCATCAGTTTACTGTCATGGATTTGTCATGTCATGTCGCGTCACACCGCATCCACAGATAGAACATAACTGAGTTCTGTTTGCTTTTGTCAAATCGCGCTGCTTGCGTCTGCTGTAGACACGTTGTTTTGGTATTTCTGAATCTTAAGTATATTCATAATCTGCTTTAAGTTTACCTGGCACTGGAAGTCCTTTCACAAACTTGTAACTTATGCTTAGAGCAGAACCATACATCGTTAATTTATATTTCTACATGGCTCCCTAAAATACAATGCTGATTCTTCAATTGCGCCATCTAGTGGTCTGTTATTGATACAACCACAACTTCTACAACTGATAACGGAGCGCTCAAGCGGGTACTGCGAGTCATGTTGAGGTAATTAAAATGTCAAATTCATATTTTGCGTTAAATTATTTACTTATCAGGCAAGTGCCCGCATGATAAGCGGGAAAATTACGCAGTGCAGTCTTTATTACCCTGCAGAGGTTTCTTTTGCAAAATAATCTGCTGACTGTACACTATCCCTCAGCCTTGCTGTGCCCCCCTTGTAATAGCTACGCGCCCCCAGTTTTGGGAACCACTGGAGTAGGCGATTTGCGCTCTATTAATTTGGTCTACGATGCTCTGTGTGTTTGATTACTAATGCCTGTGTAGTACGGCGTTGCACACAGAGGACAAAAACGTTCAGCCTCAACTCTTTATCGTCATTTGTGTTCAAATTTGCGAAGCATACCAAATTGAACAAAACAATATTAATGCAAAATTTGAATTCATGAATATATAACGTATCCACGGTATAGCAAAATCCATATCATGGAATATTTGATTGCCAACAGATTTACCAAGCTGTCATTCAAACAGTATATATACAAATTTAGGGAAAACAGCCTAAGCTGGATATAGGCTACAGCAGTCGGCTTAATTAAATGGCGCAACAGGCAGCTCTCTTTTAACACAGACTTTTAAGAAGGGATGGATGTTTGCTTCAAGTGATAGGCCAGGTAAGTGAAGTTATATTATCTTGCTGTATGTATGTCGTATTCTTTACGTTTTTGGACTAAAAGCAACCAAAAAGCCATTTTAAAGTGGTTAAGCAAATAATAATAATAATAATAATAATAATAATAATCGGCAGGGATCCCAGATCAATACAATTAGTGTGCCTCCTCTATTTTAAAACCCACGAGCCGCCACTGGTATAACGCCCACCCCTACTGTGTGCACTGTGAACTTCTTCCTCTGAGCACATTCTGCTCCCACCTGGCCATCTTCGAGGAAAGCAGCCAGGCTTGTGCCCCTTATGGTTTGGCTCAGATAATGGGGGTCGCAGATTAAACTGGCTGAGGAGCTTGAGACTTGCCTGTCCTTTTCTCAGCTTTCACCTGTTGGCTCCAGCGCCTTTATTCATGGTTAGGAAGCACACCCCATGGTACTTCCATTCTGAGTGAAGGACCGCTGCTGACTTTATCATCTTCCGAGGAAATCGATATGGTTCGCATCAAGGCTGGGGAGGTTGAGGATTCGGCACCTCTCTCCCTGGCTTATGAGAAGCTTGTGGAGGCTGTCACTCATGCTGTAGCCAAGTTAAACATCGA